AGATAAGTGAATTCTACTTTGAGGGGCCTGACCTACCAAGAAAAGTCTGGTGGACGATGTATGGTCAGTGCTTACCGTGGCAAAGAAGATAAGTGAATTCTACTTTGAGGGGCCTGACCTACCAAGAAAAGAGTGTAAAAACCTGGGGGGAAATGCCACTAGGACGTGATTTGTTATGAAATGTGCAAAGCTCTATATAGAAGTGAGAAACCAGGCAAGGATTGTGTCTCCAGGGAGAGGCCCCATGAGCAGGTAGAACCTGATGTCAGTAAGTAAAGAAGGTTGATGAAAATGGATTTGGCAGGTAGAAAATCTTTTGACTTTACTAAATCTTATGACACAGAAGCAGGTATCTAAAACTGAGTTCTTATACAGTGAGACAAACTGTATGAGTTAGACTGTGAGCTTCTCAAGTGTCTCAAGGGAACACGTCTTTCTGTGTGTCTCCACCTGGCACAATATACATTTCTTTGTTGAATGAATGCCGAATGAGTGAATTAGAGAAATTGCACAAGTAAGCAGGAATATGTACAGGGGATAACTTCAAGGTAGCAGTGGCAAAAAACTGAAATAGAAAATTTTATGGGTAAGATATGTAAATTGTTTCAGTTAAGGTGTATTTTTCTGCCTTGAGCATTCAATCCAAAGTGTGTGAATGTGTTTGGCTACAGAGTTTGTGACTGTATGGTTCAAAAACGGCCCTTGTCTGTGTGCCTATACAAACTATTAGTATGCCTGATTCGTTTGGACTATTCATGTGGAAATTTCTGAAAAGTAGTGGATTCTGCAAGTTTTGGGGGAAAATGTTTTGAGTGCTTACATGAAAACTGTATTTTCTACTGATAGTTTGAGCTATGGTTTGAAAAAGAGTAAATGTGGCCTTCCAATTGCAGGGTCTGTTTTCCATCCTTTTCTCAGACATTAAAGTGAATTGTAATTGCCACTCTTAAACTGAATCCTGGAAGAATGATAGTGATTCACAAGTGTTAGTAAAGTGCTGCTGAAATCTGGAATGTATTTACTCCAATTGTTTGGATTCTCCAAGATCAGACCTGCATAGAAGAAGAAAAGATAGAGCATTTCTAACTGGCAATAGTGTTCCTTAGAAATTGTTAGGGAAGAAGCTGGGAGCAAAATGACTTTCAGAAATATAGGATTCTACCATAAATCTAGTTTTTAAGATGCTTTTAGTTTCAATGAAATGTAAGTCATAGTGTAAAAGCCAGAGGGCTTTGCACTCTTTCTGCTATTGACACCACATATTGGTACTGTCTGCTCTCCCAAAACTCCTACTATGTTCTGAATTCTGAAGGCACTTAATTTTATCCACTTTACTGCATGATTCTGTCATTTACATTACTCTGCTGGGACTTACACTACAGAGGTGCATTGTGGGAAGCCTTCATCTTCTTCTGAAGCTTTAACTTCAGGGAGTTGCTTCAGGGAGAATGGGAAGTTTGATGTATGTCTTCCTGCTGGAGTGATAGCTTTGTGAGTCTTCTGCCATATTTCTGACATGTTAGTACACGCTCCTTTTTAATTTTTTTAATTACAAAAGTGAAAAAAGTCTAAAGTGAAAAATGAAAATCATTTCATTGTTCTTTCATGATGCCCATTCTAGCTCTCCAGAAATAAGCAGACCTATTTGTTGTATAATACTGTTGCTTTCAAATTTCAATTTGAACATAGATGGCTAGAGCTTATACTCTTATTTTTCTGTGTGTGGAAGTGATGTCAGAACACCATTAATCTGACTTAAACAGCCCATGGAGAAATCCAGCTTTTGTGTTTTATCTCCCCATAAATACATCCGTGTGTATATATATCCTTCAGAGGTTGCAAACTCATGATCTGTGGGCTTTATGCAGCCCAGAGACAAACTTTCATGGCTTGTCGTATGCTTTAAAAAATATATATGAATTGGTCAGCATGCCGGTAAAGGGGTTTAAAAAAAAAAGAAAAAAAATGTGTGTATTAATTGGTTGCCAACATCTGAAAATCAGGGTATTTCACATAAAGTCTGTGGTCTAGTGAATCTTGAGTAATAGTATGACCTAAAACCCTGAAGACACAGGCAGGTGGCTAGAAGTGGGTAGTAGCAGCCTCCATAAGACACATAATCTGCTATCTGCCACACCTCAATTGACCCCTGTTGTATTATATCTGGCCACTCAGTTTGCTTCCTGCTGGCCTCTACAGATGTGTGAGTTTGCTAATGATATAGATAGGTTGACCATATAATTAATTGTATAAACTAGGACAATTTAGATAAATGGTTCTCAACCTTCCTAATGCCACAGCCCTTTAATACAGTTCCTGTGGGTCGCGACCCACAGGTTGAGAACTGCTGATTTAGAGTAAAAATGAGTGCTATTAATAATTATACCAAGACCATAGGACGAGACAAACCAAGATATATGGTCTTCCTATTGATAGACAACTTCATTCAACCCCTTCTTTTTACTAATGAGAAAACTAAGACCTAGAAAAGGGAAGTAACTTGCCCATGGAGTTTACCAAATGAGTTAATGACAAAGCTGCCCTAACCACATTGACTTCCAGTCCACTGCTTTTTCTAATATAACATGCACCATATAATATGTATGAGCACTATAACCTCCTTGAATGCATGGATTTTTTTATAGTTAATAATTATCACATAGTTAATTTTGTGTGAGAGTTCACAAATTTGTAGCTTATATCAGTGATATTTCTGTTATGCTTCAGACCATATGCTGTTATGATTTGGACCATGGCACATTCAGAGATGTTTAAAACATTTATAGGCTTATGAACTAGACAATAAACATAAGCAAAATTTCTCATTTTACTAGATACAACAAGAGATGTATTTAGATGTGCTAATTGTCCAGATTAAAAAAAAAAAACAACAATAAAAGTCTACCATTAAGTAAGTATCTGCTTGCTAAAAAAAAAAACACTGGATATTGTCTTTTTGATCATTCGCTATGCCTGGTCTTCAAGAGATGTTGCAGACCCCAAATTCCCAAATATTTGGCCATATTGAGTTTCTAAAAGATATTTGTACAGAAAACACCCCAGATGAGACTAGTGCATGTTCTTAATCACTTGCTCAAACTTTGACCCCAAATCCCTATCTAGTGACCTACTCAAGAGAACTGTGTAAACCTTAGGACAACTCTTAGCCTTTGGTGGAGACTTAGATGAAAGTCTAGCCTGAGAAGATACTTTTTTCCAGTGTCCCATGTGGCTCCCTCTTGTCCTTCCAAGGGACCTTGCAAGCAGTGGAGCCATCTTACCACGTCAGCAGCACAGGGTGGACAGAAAGAAGGAAGCCCTTTTCACTAAAGCCAAAAGCAGAGTTGGCCTAAGTCACCTACCTCATTCTGTCTTTCCATAAAGGATACACTGTGGTCCCCATTAGCTTTTCAAACATGGGACCATCGCCCACACAGACCAGGATGCGTGTTACCACACTGGCCTTATAGAGTTGAAGAGAGCCCCCAAAATGTAAAGTGGGCAAAGATCCCTTCTACCCTACTCAATAACACCTTTGTGGTATTCTCCCCTGGAAAAGCCCTTTCCTTTGACCATTGTCAGAGCTTCTTTTCTGCAGGGTAGCTTGATAGAGGAGGGGACCAGTGACCAACCAGGACCTTTAGACTCACAATCCAAACCACATATACAGGTAACCTTTTTCTCTGATGCACCTTAACAAACTTGTACAGGAGAAAGTTGTTTTCTAAATGAGCCACAGCAATATACATAACACAGACCACTAAAGCTTTGCTGTCCAGTAACAATGCGGTTACTGAGTCCTTAAAATGATATTTTGGTGATACTTAAATAAGTTAAAAATAAAAACAGTATCACCTTTATTTCTTCTGTTTATTTTTCCTTTTTAAGGTAATTACTAGAAAAGCTACGTTTACCCATGTTGCTAACGTTATATTTCTATTGGTCAGAGCCATTCCAGAGGCATACATCATGTATGTCATGAAGTAGAATTTAGTTTCATGCTTAGGTGCCATGGTGGCTTTTTACCATCAAATCTGAAAGGGGAGAAGTTTGGTAGTTGCTTCCTAGTACAAATTATTAGTTTATCAGGAAGGCTTCAGTGTGGTAGAGACATCTGGTATAGGGGCAGAAGTTCATAACAGAATGTTACCTTGATATGAGAACATGGTGAAAGCATTTGGGACATCTTTTTGTAAATCAGGCTAATTTTTAAAAGGAATAATATCCTCCCTTACGTCTCCCAGCATCTTGTTTCCTGTACTGCTCTTTGCCTCACAGAGCCACTGAGGGGCACCTGCTCTGACACCAGCTTTTCAGCTTCCATGCCATATCACACAGAAGGCACTTGGGTCCATACAGTGCCAGCTGTGGGTGCCATATGGAAAAGCCATATCATATACATATGTACAGAGTGTTTCTGAAGCCAGAAGGAGTGTAGAGGAGTGTGTAACCGATCTAGCTTTATCTTTTCTTTGCCTTTGAAAATTTTAATCATTGAAATATCTTTAGGCCATAAATAGAATCATGTAGTGAGATAACTCTGAGTTAAAACCAAATATGTACTTTTGTTTTTATATGGACACAGGACTGTGTATGAATGTATGAAAATGTAGAGTGAACATTTGGATGCAGACAAGTTTGACTTTTCAATGAAGGATATGGAGAGCATGTATAAATGAATGGGAATGGTGTACGTCAATCTGTTCAAGCAGAGTTATTCATATTGAAACAGAGATTTCCTCCTATAAATAGTTGAAGTGAAAGTTCTGTTTCTGCTTCTGCCTCATTTAGGTACAGAGTTCACTTAGGTGGCTGACAAGAGATTTATGGAGAAGGTCATTGTCTTGACTGAGCCCAGCTTTGGTGGTTTGTCTCTCATACCACAAAAGGCATGGACCAGTGGTGCCATGTGTGGATGGTATCAACTGGAGCCAGGCTTCAGGCTGTGTTTTCCTTTGCATTAACCGCTTTCCTTCTTCTTTTCCTTCCACTTCTTCTAGGCAGGACAGGGCTGCTTGCTGATCTCTTGCCCAGTTTTGCTGTGGAGATTATGCCAGGTATTCAGTCATTTAACTCTTTATTTGCTTAATTTGCTATCATTCCATCTGCCTTGCTTCTGCATTAGTCACTAATTAATCCTTTAATTTATTTGCATATTTCTCTCTCTATATATATATGATCTTTTCCAGGATTAACTACGCCCATTGAAAGAGACTTTAAATTGCATTCCTTCTGTTACTGAGACCTAAAAGAATAATGGTAATTAAAAATAGGCTGAAATGGAAACCTAGTTCTTTAGTGACAGCCATGAGGGCTCTTTGGCAATCTTCATGCCCATATCAATACCTCATATGTACCCTAACAGCGATAAGTATTCTTAACTGAATAATTATGTATCTATAGTCCTTATGTCCTAAGTTATATGTTTGTCTATCCATTATTATACAACTATACTATTCTGAATTGCCTTTCATAATATTATCAATTTTTTTCAGACCCTAGGAAAGCTTTACCCCTTCTCCCTTGAAAAATATATATTTAAAGACCTTTATTACTTTGTATACAATTTTAGGGGCTGATTATTAGTGGTTGCCTTACATCCCTAGGGGGTCCATGGGCCACATGTCAAGGACACCTGCCTCAAATATACATCTTTGTCTTTTTATGTAGCCTCAGTTGAACATCCCAGCCTAGACAAGCCCACACCAGTTTGGTGCAGCACTATGCTCCATAACTGAAAGAGGATCAGAGAGAAGCAAGAAGGAACTGTGGGAGAGGGTCTATCTAAACCCAAGGAATAGGAAAGGGTATGATTCAGTCTTGCTTTAGAGGGTTTCTGCCAAAGTTTTAAGAGCTGCCTACTAGCAACAGAGAGATACAAAACCTTCTTGGCTATTGGTTTGGGCTGAATTTGAATTTTTAAAATATCTAAAGTCTTTATAGATGAGTCTCACTTATTATTCTGCCATGAATTCTTCTAGCCCTTTTTCCTATTAGCCGGCCAACCCAAATGTAGATGTTCTTCTGATTGATGTTGCTTCCAAGGACACAAATAGATATCTCTTTGTGATCACCCTTATCCAGGGTTCCCTCAATTTGTCAGCATTTGTTCATCACAAAAAAAATTGTTACATTACAGCGATCCAAACTAGATGCTATTATCTCTGAGTCCCAAGAAAGTGTTACTGTATTTTTCATATCTGGTCCTATACGCCTGAATTTCCCTCCCTTTTGACTCCAAGAATTCTTTCACAGATAATACTCTTTTGTTTCTCAAATGTGACTTGCTAGTCTTTTATCCTTGACTGCCTGACCAAGTGGTAGCTACCAGTCCACATAGTTCCTATAAACCTCAGGGCTCATGTCCGTCTTAGCTACATTATGTTACTGTGTGCTTGCTCAGGCCTAGTCCAGAGGCTTCTGATACCTGCCAACCTCATGAATGCCCTCCAGACCCTTCTAGCCAGTCACCAGGTCTTCTCATTTCCTCACTAAAGAAAGGTTGATCTTGTTAATTTTAATATATTTCAGATGGATAAGTGAGGAAAGACAATCAAGAAACATAAGTTGTTTGTTTTTTAAGGAAATTATGTTCTAGACAAAGTCAATTTTTTTTTTTTTACTATTTTCATTTTCACCCAAATCAAACAGTTTTACTATTATCACAAAACCTTTGTGTAACAAAAATGCCATATTCTGAAGCTCCCAACTAAATATCCATTTAATTGATGGAATATTTAATAATCCAAATGTAAGAAAAACAGTGTATACTTGAGAATCAGTGTAAAGGGAATTTGGTAGATGGCTTTCAACCAAAGTGAGATGCTTTAATCATTTGGCTTTTAAAGGAAAGCGGGGTTCACTCCAGTCTGTCCAGGCCTCCAGAGGGAAGTGTGGTCCTATTAGCCAAGTCCGAAAAGCATGATATTGAGATAAGTCACCTCAGGACCATAGTAATTTTTATCTGAGCCAATTAGAATTTGTTTCCCTTCTTTTGATCTTTTTGGTGGGTGAATGAAGTAAAATTCACATTCAGCTTCTGGCAGAATGGTGAAAATAGCAGAAGTTGACAAATTTACACATCGGCCTTCCATACATCACAGCTCCTAGTCACTTTAGCCCTTGGCTATGTTAGCTGTCTAGCATGGTCAGCGTGAGTGGGATCAAACCAAACCCATTCTCTGGGGACAAGGACAGTGTCTTCTTTGAGTCTGTGTCTCTAGTTTTCTCTAGCTATGGATCACTATCTGGGCATAAGCAATAGGTTTGGATCTGAGCACTGGTCTAAGAAAGACATTGTAGGACTTATCAGCAGGGAAAGTAGATGAATACAGAAGGGACCTGGAACCACCTAACCATAGGCTATGTTTAGACCACATAGACACAGAGCCCTTTTCCTCAGGACTTAGCTGTTGTAGATAAGATCAACGTGATGAAAAAAGATAGGTGTATTCATAAAATCCACCACTTCATAGCCCAATGGGCAAGGTTCCCCCTCCTCCCAGCAACCATCTTTCCACTCTTGTCCCATCCTTGTTCTGACAGCACAGTCAGTTTGGTTAATCCTCTCCCTGTATGGGACCCTGAAACTCTCCCATCACCCTGTGCTGGTCCTACATGTGCCTAATATGATATAGATCACCCTCTTCCCTCTTCTCCATACCCCAGCCCTGGGGAGGTCAGCACTCCTCACTCAGTTTCCCTTGAGATTTGTGGGCTCTGTTCCCTGTTAAGAAATGCTTTCTTCCCCAGGTTTCCCCTCCTTGCCCCTTTTCACCAGGGAGGTACCAATCAGAGTGTGCCCTGCCCTGAAGGTGAGCTGCCTCGAGATGGATTTCTCTGTGCATCCCTCCAGAGTGGGTGTTTGTTGGCCTGGTGATCCTGGGAGTCTTCCTCTTCTTCGTCCTGGTGGGGATCTGCTGGTGCCAGTGCTGCCCTCACAGCTGCTGCTGCTATGTCCGCTGTCCATGCTGCCCAGATTCCTGCTGCTGCCCTCAGGCCTGTGAGTAAAGTGACCAGTGGGGAAATGTCGGGTGACCAAAAGAAATGCCACCTCTCCATCTGACAGAGTTCCTCCTCCTCCACCTCTTTTCCTTCCACTTGAAGTCTTCCCAGACTTTCTCCTCCTCTGGGAACCCCGGCTTCAGGGATGACTGTCCTTGCCTGCTCTCACCTACATGTGCTTCTCCATGCTTTTGATCCATACCTGTCACCCAGTGCATTTGGAATCCTCACTGACATTATTCATTAAATGGAAGAGCAGGTTCATGGTGGTGAGGTTGTGGGGTAAGACTCTGTGCTCTGCTCAGGGCATTCAAACTAGAGGAAGCCTTCTCTGGTCCTTCCCCTCCATGCAGAGGACTTCCTTGTTTTATAAGCAGAGTTGCCTAAGTGTGGCCTTTGGGCACTACCCAGCAACAGATGAATTTTGTTTAATCCCATGAGGAGGTGACCCACTATAGGGACTAACCTTCATTTAGGGATTCACAACTTTTACCTTTACTGTCTAGCCCATGTGGGCATTAAGTTTGACACCGCTGCCACAAACCAAACATGTCTTGAAAGAGAGCGGCACACCAGGTATCTGTAGTATCTTTAGGAATAAAGCAGTTCCGAGGAGGAGTCAGGTTATCTGCTCTTCTTTTGAAGTCAGAAAGCAGGGGCCATGTACAAGCTCACTGCCTGCTTTCCTTCTCTAGAAGAGGCTCAGGATCCTCCTTGAAGCAGCCCTGGGCAGCCCCTGTGCTAGGCCTCCTCCAGAAGGGCTGAGGCAGCCTAAAGACAGTGTGGTTATGAGTAGGCTGCTACTGTCACTGAGGATACTGCTGTGACAGCTCCCAGAACCGCTTAATTACTCAGATGCCAGGTACTAAACACTGTAATTCCTTATGTCATTGCCTTTTGCTGGAACTGAAGGGGCGTCCAAGGGAGTGGGGGAAAGTGGTTCTGATGAATCAATTCAGTCCTAGGAGAATACACACACACACACACACACACACACACACATCTAGGAGCTCCTGTGAGTGCATCCTCAGGGACTTTTTGGTGAGGGTTGTGGTGGGTGGGATGACATAATCTCTCTTGCTCTTCATCTCCCTCCACAGTGTATGAAGCAGGGAAAGCAGCAAAGGCCGGGTACCCTCCCTCTGTCTCCGGTGTCCCTGGCCCTTACTCCATCCCCTCTGTCCCTTTGGGAGGAGCCCCCTCATCTGGCATGCTGATGGACAAGCCACATCCACCTCCCTTGGCACCAAGTGACTCTACTGGAGGAAGCCACAGTGGTAAATGTAGTTCCAGACTGCCCTGCCCCATTCTTGTCTTGGGCCCCCACCTGGTTCCTTGCTGATAAATGCAATCAGTTCAGTGATACATCTGTGGAAAATGGCTATCTCCCTTCTAGAAGCAGGTGCCTTCTGGCTACTTCAGGCTTTTCAAGGGCCATGGACATTGTGACACTGCTGACCAATGCTTTGTTTCTAGCCTCTTTCATAACTAAAACTATAAGAAAAAGAGACTAGGTGCCCCCCCTGAATATTGATCATTCAGTTAAGAATTATCTCATCCCTACTGCATATTTAGGACTGCACCAGGTACCGTGAGGGTCAGTGAGCAGTGTAGGACATGGTGTTTCTAGCTAGTATGGCTTACTCAAGGAGAGAGTATGGACCTTTATTAAAATGGATACTAAAGAGTATAGTATTTGGAGTTCAAGCAAAAAGAGCTGAAGTGGTTATAGAGACTTTAGACAGGAGGTGAGATTTGAGCTGGGCCTAGGAATGAGCAGGATTTATAAAAGCAAGCAGGGATACTAAGCACCCCAAATGGGAAGGCCAGTGTGGGGAAGTCCCAGAGCTGGAAGGGCACAGTGCAGGTGTCTGGCAGTGTCCAGCTCATCAGCCTGATGGAGGAAAGTGGAGCCAGATCAGGGAGGGCCTTCAAACCCCTCCAGAGGAGCCAGGGCATAGTAAGAGAGCCACAGCAGGCATATTCCTGAGAGCAGAGTTGGTACCAAGGTGATAAGGTGAGTGATAAGAGGGAGAGAGCAGAGCCAGAGACCATGAGTGTGACAGGACTGAAGTGGCTCAAGTGTGAGCTGCTGGATTATGATGGAGACCACAGGAGTTGAAATTCATGGGTCAATCTGAGTGATACATACTTTGAAAGAAGCAATGAAATTTTGGGGAATTTAGGAAAGGGAGGCTCCAAGATGACCCCAATGAAATGAAGCAATTGGTGAGGAGAGCGGATTTGGGTGAAGATTCACTCCATTTGGGACGTGATGAATTTGTAGCTACAGGCAAGTGTAGAGGGCAGAGGTAGAAGGGCATTAAAATACAGCTTTCCTGAGGCATTTTAACAGCTTACAGGGTAGTGAAAGGTAAGCATTGTATGTGTTGTAGATTTAGGTGATTTTAAAATTCCCAGATGTAGATGAGCCACTAGGGTTAGTAGAACAGGTGCTTCTCCCCTGGCAGTGTCTGGGTGCCTCTTGGGGGGCAGTGAGAAAGAGTCTCTAGCCCTCTTTATGAACTACTGATGCCTGTCTATGGAAGGAGTGGATATCCTTGGTGAGTAACTGGTAGTTGTGCTTTTCTCTCCCTAGAACTATTAGTAGAATTCTGACGTCTGAGACAGAATGAGTCACAGACTGGGAAGTAAAAGCTAATGATCAAGGACACACAGGGAATTAGAGAGATAAAGACAATGTAGTCCCTCTCCGTGAAGGATGGTGTGGGCAAAAGAGACATTAGTGGAACTTGTCTCAGACTCTATTTCTGCTTCCTTTTTTCTAATCTTTGTCCTTCTTTCTCTCCAGAATCCTTTTTCCCTTACCTTTTATTTAATGGATTGTCATGATAAAACAGTTCTTATTCATAGCATGGGAAATAGTTCCTCTCTCCCATTTTTAGCCTTTTTCTACTTCCTGCGTGTTGTAGTTCAATCATTTTGGCTCCATCCTGCCATACTAACCAACTATAATTAGAAGTGCCTTTAAAGAGAGGAAAATGTATTATTTCATATAACAGGAAATGCAAGGTAGGGTAGCTGCAAGGTTGGTTAATTGAAGGGTTCAGGTGGCACCTTTCCGTTTTTGATTCTGTCACCTTGTCTAGCTTTGCTCATAATCCCTTGATGACTGCTGTAGTTTCAGGTATTAAGTGCATTCAGAGATAGAAAATAGTCTGCTGTTCCCTTTGCCACTTTTCTTAAGAGTGAGAAAAACTTTTCCAGGAGCTCCTCCCCCATGCACCAGGCTTCTTGCAGTTTTATTGGCAAGAATTGTGTCAATACCTGTACCTAAACCAGATTGGCTTGAACTAATCAAGACTCACCTCTTAGGCCTAAACAACTACGCATTTTGGAAGCGAACAAAATTAGGGTTCTGTTAGCAAGGAAAAAAATGCAGAGATGGTAGTCAGTGTCAGCCACAGCTAGTCTGGCCCATGTCATCATCATCATCTGGCTGGCTGAGTCAGGACAGAGTTTTTCTTGAGCCATATGTGGCACATTTTTGTACTCTTAGTCCCATCGGCAGCAGTAGAAATGGTGTTTGTCCTCCTCTAAGAAAGGTGGCCTAGGCCCATGTTCTATGTAGATTTATTTTTTAAAGAACATTAAAAATGTTTAGAAATAATGACTTAGAAAAGTGTAGATTCTGCCTGTTTTATTAACTAGCAACAGTAATTTTTCAGATTACATCTGCACATAATACTCTTTTGAACATCTTTGTATGGTATAGCCAATTGGTTACTGAGAGGGAGAGAGATAAGGGGCACCCTATTTCCTTCTCCCATTCTTCATGGCAGCTACTTGAGACCTTCTCTGTTACAATGAAAGAAGACTGTCTGCTTCTGGGCTTCTCTGGATACATCCCTTCTAGCTACTCAAGGCTCCATCTCTGCTGGAGATCCACCCTCTCCCCCATTCCCACCTCACCTCTCCAGCCTTTCCTTCTCCAGTGACTCCTTTCTATCAACATTCAAAATATGCGCAAATCTCTCCCATTAAAATACAACAACTTGCAAAAACTCTGTAATCCGCTAATATTTCTCCCCTATCCTCTTTCTTGTCTTTATAGCCAAACTACTTGAAAGAATTTTGAATATTTGATGTCTCCATTCTCTCTGATCTCACCAAGTCCCCAACTAACGTCATCCTGCTATTGTTTTCACCACTCCAGAAACCATCTTTTGCCAGGATTGTTTTTTTGCAAAAGTCTAACAGATGCTTTTCTTTGTTCTTTCCTTTCTTTCTTTTCTTTCTCTTTCTTTCTTTCTTTTTTTTTGGAGACATAGTCTCACTCAGTAAGAGTACTGTGGTATCATAGCTCATAGCAACTTCAAACTCTTGTGCTCAGTGATCCTCTTGCCTAAGCCTCCTCAGTAGCTCAGACTACAGGCACCTGCCATAATACCTGGCTGTATTTTAGGGACAGGGTTTTTCTCTTGCTCAAGCTGGTCTCTAACTCCTGAGCTCAGGCAGTCCACCTACCTTGACCTCCTAGGGTGCTATGATTAAAGGCACGGGCCACTGCACTGGGTCTCTAATGGATACTTTTCAATCCTTACCTCCCCTGACTTCCCCAAAGCATTTGCCACCCCTAATCCACTCATCATTCTTTGCCTTTCTCAGTAAGGAGCTTTGTAACTTTCCCTAACTATCTCTCTGTATGCTAGCTGTTCTGCTGCTATGCCTCTTCTAGATATGTCTATTGTATCTGATGCCCTCTCCCTGGGAAATCTAATCTACTCCCCTGGCTTCGACTGTCATCTATATGCTGATGTCTTCCAAGCATTATCTCTACTCTTTCTTCTGCTCCTCAGTCTCATTTATCCAATTGCCTTCTGAACATCTCCATCTGGATGTCTTGATGGCGTTTCCACCTTAGCCTCGGAAACTGACTTAATCTGCTGCTGCTTCACTTCAAACCAGTTTCTGTGTATCTTATCTCAGTGGATGGCACCTTTGTCCTCCTCCACAGCCCACAGCAGAAGCAGAGACTTCATTCTTATCTCTTCCTTCTCCCTTACTTCCCACATCCAGTTGGTCACCATGTCCTTTAGACTGTGCCCCCAAATAACCTTGAATTGGTTTACTTTCCTCTGTGTCTACTGCAGCTATCCTAGTCCTTGCTGCTATTACCTCCCACCTTGCTTAACGCAATTATATCCCACCTGGTCTTCCCGCAGCTACTCTGGCTTTGCTAATCCATTTTATTTCACATATACCTGTGAATTCTTATTCATGTAAAAGAACTGAGTAGGCAGGTAGGGTTTTAAATGTCATTTTCAAAATTAATAAGGATGTGTGTCTATATATATATGCCTACTGTATGTATACAGAGAATATGCAAATTTTTAGAATCACTTCTCCCACAACTGAGATGCTGTCACCTGGGGGGTGGAATCTGGCAGCTGTTCCATCATCCATAAACAGCCTTACTTAGCTCATTAAGATAGGACAGGAAGAACAAGTCTGTATCCATGGGTATCTGCCTCAGAGACTCCTTTTTTGCAAGTTTTACCAGTTGAATTTTGGCTACAAAGGAGAACTTAGCTGAAAAATAGCTGAGCCTTAATTGGGTCAAAAATACCAGCTCAAATCCTTAAGCCGTAAGACTTTTTGAAATTACAGTTTGGCATCAAAGTGGATATCCCAGTATCCCCTCTCCAGTAAAATCAAAGTTGGCAAGACTAATAAATGAGGAGAGCTGAAGTATGAAGAGCCATGCCAACCAAAGGACTTGCACCAGACTGAACCCGAAAGCAGAAATAAATCATCCATCAACCCTAAACTGAAACATCACCAGGAAGAAAGTCATTTTCCACATATGCTGGACTTTGGCCAATAGTCTAGGACATTTCCCATTAAAACATCATCATGCATCAGAGAGTTCTCTGATCTTCAGACAAATTACAGATAAAAATCAATCTGACACCATCTATTTGCTTTCAAATCAAGAAATATTTAATGAATGCCTACAACTTTTCCCTATCCTCAAGGAATTACAGTCTAGTAGGGTAGTTGATAGGGGTTCGTGAATGGAAATAAAATTAGTAGGTAATACAAGGCAATATATGGTAAGATTCTTCCATGATGCTGGCTCAGAAAGGAAAATCTTATCCTTGGAAAGGCAGGATAAAGAAAGGTTTTCTGGTATTTCATATGCTCCTGAGCATATATATGACATAGAGCCAGGTTCTACCTGGATGAAGAATAGTTTAGTGTACTGCATGGTCAAACTTGTAACTTACCATTAAAACAAACAAACAAACAAACAAAACCCAGTATCTTTTAAAGAGAGAATTCCCTAAATTTTTAGCTACTGAAACCAAATGGATACAGCCCCTAAAATCTAAATATCAATATTTTGCATCTTTCTTTTTAAAAAAATTATGATAGAATGTATATTTCTGAAGCCATGGGGCTTCTGTGAATGGGATATCAAAGCTGAAAGTATCTAGTATAATGGAGTCTCTTTATAATACCAGTATTGAATGCAAAACTCTGATCTTCATTTGAAGCTACAAATGCTTACTGTAACTTTTCAAGGACAGCATAACCTATACATACACAATCAAATCTGTGTCATAATGAGGAGTGTAATTTGTTATAATGACATAGAAAACAATCCAAGCTCCAGTCCAAGTTGCAATTAACTGAGGATCCTCCAGCTGTTGCTCAGGGCAGCAGCCATTCTCACTGGCCATGTCTCACTGCCAGGGGACAGCTGACACATTGTTTCCTATAGCAACAGCCTCCCCGCCATCTCAGTATTACTGAGTGTTTACCATACACTAGAACACCTACATAAAGCCACCAGCTGTAGGTAGAGTAGACCCCTTTCCTAATGCCTAGAAATATGCTAGGCATTATATGCTAATCAATAATAATCACAATGTTTACTTGAACCTTGCTGCTTTCCTAAGGCTACCATTCATGCTTTTCCCTGCCTGGTCAAAATTCTCCACTAAACCACCAACATAGCCTCATCTACCAACTTTCATAATCTCTTGGAGTATAGTTTCAGTTTCTATTCCTAATTTCTCCTTGTTCATCCATCCATTCATTCATTTTTGTAAATGAATGTTTTGAATGTCTATAATGTACCAGGCTCTATGCTAAGTGCTGGGGATACGGAAGAGCAGAGACCTAGTCCTTATCTTCAGGAAGTTTACAGTTTAGCCAGGGATACTCTATTGAAAGTACACTTTTCAAAGAAACTATTTTTATTTTTATTTTTTTGAGACAGCCTTACTCTGTCGTCCTGGGTAGAGTGCCATGGCATCATAGCTCACAGCAACCTCAACCTCTTGGGTGTGAACAATCCTCTTGCCTCAGCCTCCCAAGTAGCTGGGACTATAGGCATGTGCCACTACACCCACCTAGTTTTTCTATTTTTAATAGAGACAGGGTCTTGCTCTTGCTCATTGTGGTCTCAAACTCCTGAAGCAATCTACACACCCCAGCCTTCCAGATTGATAAGATTACAGGCATGAGCCTCCCCGCCCATCCTCAAAGAAACTTAACTCTGTCCCCATCCCCAGGCTGGCTGCAATTCAATGTATATTTATTAAGTGCCCGCTATATGTAAAGTATGGTGGCTCTAGGCACATGGACATACAGAATGATAAGGATTTTTTTCCTTCAGGAATTTTTAAGATTAAATATTTACACAAATAACTTGAAACAAACTAGAATAAAGGCCAAAATAAACGTTCAACAAAATGGTTTGTCAGTTAGAGAGTCAGAGAAAGAACTTTTCTCGCTATGAGAATCAAAGAAAGCCCTTTGGAGGAGGCAGCATTTAAGCTACTCCTGATATAAAGAACTCAACGTGCTCCACTGATTTGGTCTTGATTGTCCTCTCTTTTTTAAGAGATTTGAAGTTGAGAAGTATTAGTTGTATTTTATGGACTTAAAAACTGAGTCCTGGATAGGTCACCACTTGAGGTTCCTCAGTAACCCAGCAGTAGCTTGCCTACAAGATGCCTAGTTCCCTACCTCCCAGAGCTCATCCATCAGACGTAACTGCCTCCAGAACAGACATAGCAGTTCCGTGGGATAATTGCATTTTAATTGAACTGTCTGTACTACTCTGTGAACGCCTCTGCAACGATGGAAGAATGTGTAGCTTGATAAATAAAATCATTTCTGCTAATAATTGCTTCTGCGCATGGATTATGGATTTAACCTCTGGGAGAAGATGCCACTAAAAAGCATGTGCTGGGATTTGTTCTTTATTTTTTTCCTAAGTAATTCCAGAATTTGAGATGAATGTGGACTGCCCAGTATGTTTCATATAGAAAAGCAGTGCACCTGCAAATGGGTATGTGGGTGACTTCTCTGTCTTCCGTGCTTGGGCTGCAGTTAGAGTGCTGTGGAATTTTATATTTTAGTCTTCAACGCAAATAGCTTGTGTGGGAGGGCTTTGTCCACAACCAGGGTAACATGACCAGAGACTATAAATCAGGGTTTTCTCTGGAGGCACGTGCAGTCATGTGACTTCTTTATGGTATTTGTCCCACTTTGGGAACAGAAAATTATTAGGGCACCAGCTTACATCCCATTGTACAGTCCTGCTCAGCTGGGAGACAGGGCCATGCTGTGATCATACAACCCATGGCACACCTAAGAGTATTTCCTACTCGGAGCTGTACTTCTTTGTCTCCCTCACTTACTCTCTCTCCTCCTAGACTCTAGAGAGGCAAGATGTTCTAATGGTTAAGCTTCCATTAAACTATATGGTTCCAGCCCTGACCCTGACAAAGTGTCAGCAAACTGGACAAATTATGAAACCCTCCTGATTCAAAGTTTTCTCAACCATAAAATATGGCTGATGACAGTATTTCCTTTAGGAGGCTATAAGGAACAGGTGTCCATTAAAGCATTTAGCACAGTATCTAGTACATTTTCAGTGCCTACTAAGTGTTGTCTAATCACCATCGTTGTTCTATTACCATCCCATTACTCCCTTCTTTTATATTTTTCTTTCTTTTATCTGTACCTGAGGCCTACTGCCTGAGGCATATTGGTGTCTGATCATCCTTGGGACTGGTATTGGGCTAGACTGATACCTAAGGGATTTGAGGTCTAAAGAACCTTTGCCCCTGATAATATGAATGACGAATAGTAGGAGATGGTATTATCTGCCTTGATTTAGTTTTATTTTTTCATGAAGCTCTGAAAATAACACCTGATTATAACTACATTGCAACAGCTTGAGGTAATTATGTCTAAAATACAATATTTCTTTTCCTAAAAAAAAAATGCTATACGAATAAAATGGGATCGGAATTAAAAATCTACATATTCTGCATTTTGTTTGTACTAATATGTATATATAGTCTAGAATCTAATATTAGCTCTTATGTACCACTCAGTTGAAGGAATTTGTACACCACCTCCCAGGCAACTAGAGGCTTTCAGGCTACCTTTGTCAAAGCCCCTGATGTTTGAATATCTGTTTTAAAGTGACCTATGCTTCTACAAAAGGAAGATGTGGTCTTCAGACTGCAGAGTGACATATGTCCTCAATCTAGAAAGTGGTCTTTTCTTAGTATGAGGATACCCTCCAGTGTAACTCAAAAGCTTTGAGAAGATGAGCTTTAAGTGGAGCCATAGGAGGTCAGAAGATAGGAAGCAGAGGTTAACAAATGACTAAAAATGTACTGCAGTGCGATTTTATTATTGCCTTTGAGACCCTCCATTCTGACAGCATCATCTAATAAAAAAGATCTCAGGTATGGTCACATATGTATAAATACAGATTATTATTTCTAGGCCAATTTTAGAAAGAGTTGTTATAATTGGGAACCATGCTTTCTACGTGGTAAAATGAATGGAGGCCTCTTTCTCCTAATATTTTCCTTTCTCAGCTCACCTTCTTGTACTTTTTTTCAACAGTTCGCAAAGGTTACCGGATCCAAGCTGATAAAGAGAGAGACTCCATGAAGGTCCTGTACTATGTTGAGAAGGAGCTGGCTCAGTTTGATCCAGCCAGAAGGATGAGAGGCAGATGTGAGCATCTGTTGGTTTTATATGATCTGTATATCATGCTAGAGTTAGTAGCTAAAAGGAGAATTGGGGATTACCAAACCGGGGTGGCTGTGAGCTTGCAGGGTTAGAATTAGCAGGGTATTGGTGACACTGCCGAAGAAAGTAGCTCTGCAGACACAGAGGGGAATAAAAGGGCTCATGGTGTGCAGAGTATAGTAGTTGTGTTCCACTTTAGTTTATGTTGTGTCTCTCCATGGGGCAGTAAGTATTGCTGGAGCTGTATTATCTTGGGGTTTAGAATGCTTTATTAAAAGCCTTTCCCTGCTATTCCCTTTAAAATTCATTAAAAATAATGACTTAAGATGTGGAAGTTTGAGTTATCAGCTTTTCCCAACGTGAAAGGCTCTAGCATTGAACAATCCAGCTGCCAACCCGCTGCATGGAGGCTTCAATGAAAGAGAAAGAACTAGTCTGGCAAATCAATCTGGGAATAGAGGTTGACATTCATTCTTCTGAGAAGCCCAACAGCAAAGACTGAGGGGCAAGCAAAGAGGCAGTTCCTCTTCTCCAAAGAACTTTATAATTACTAAGTCTGTAGGTTCCAGGGCCCTAACCCTTAACTTACCCCCAACCCTTTGGAGACTTTGCAGCTGACACAGCTGATTCTTGGGATGGATTCCAAATTACCGCCTAACATGGGAGGCAACATAGGGCAAGTCTGACTTGGCCAGGCTAATTATCAAGAGGGTGCTGGCAGGCATGGTAGTGAGGTCACTACGCTCTCTCTTTGAACCTTCCTCTTCTTGGAACTAACAAGAGACTTGATGGAATTGTTGGGGAAACAGTCCCAGACTAGAGGAGCTTTATTCAGATTAAGGACAACATATTCCACCCAGTTTGCAATTCTAAATTCATCCTGTCTGCATTGTATCCATTGCTGTATCCTCCCACCACACGGCTATAAAAAGACCATCTCCAGATTGGAATGTCAGGAATGCAGATGTCACTGCACTTGACAAGCTAGTTGTAACAATGTTGTCATGGATCCCTGTAAGGGGCCAGAGACAGAGTGAATCAGGGATCAAGAAGAAGCCTGTGCAGGAAATCTGTGAATCTCACAGCTCAGAGAAAAAGTTGACAACTAAGGTTAACAGTGAAGACTGGATTCTGGTTTAGCTGATGTCTCCTGTCTGTCGACTGTGATTAAAATGGTCTCCAGCGGGGTAGCCGGTCATAAGGTAATAGAAACTTAGAGTTGAAGGGGACCTCAGAGATGGCCTAGGTCAACCATTGCAGTTTGCAGATGAGGAAACAAAAGCCAAAGAGGTACAGTGATAATCAGGAGGGCAGTGACAATCAGGACTGGAACCGAGTTTTTCTAGTTCCCAGTCTTGTGCTATTTTTTCTTTTTTGAGATAGAGTTTGACTTTGTCACCCTCAGTAGAGTGCTGTAACATCACAGCTCATAGCAAATTCACTCTTGAGCTTAAGTGATTCTCTTGCCTCAGCGCCTGGGACTCCAGGTGCCTGACACAATGCTCAGCTATTTTTTGGTTGTAGTTGTCATTGTTGTTTGCCAGGCCTGGGCTGGGTTCGAACCCGCCAGGTCTGGTGTATGTGGCTGGCACCCTAGCCGCTGAGCTACAGGCGCCGAGCCCAATCTTGTGCTCTTTACACAAGAAACTTTTGAGCAAACTATGCATGGCTTTATAGCTGTAACAGCAGATTCTCTTAAGAGACCATAGCCTTCTAGCTTATAGAATTTTTGAATTCTAGGTCTGGCAGGGACTCTGAGGTTGTTGAATCCATCTTTTTCATTTAACAGAGGAAGACAGTGAGTCAGAGAGGGAAAATAACCATTGGCAGTACTCAGTGCCAATGCCAGAACAGAGACTCAGATCTCCTGGAACTTGCAGGATGACATTACAATAACTGTGTAGAGATGAAATAGGAATATAATTCACGTGTAGTTGGAGGTTTTATTCCTGAAGAGCAAACAGTGCGGTAGATCACGGAAGTGCAACAATCTTGAAAATCTCATTATAAATAGATTTCATGGCTTTAGGTTGGAAAAAGGAAGTAATTCAGTAATACAGTAGATTCTGTAAGAATTTTGAAGAAGTTTGAGGTCCAGACTCATGAATTTGCTAGCCAGTATGGTCCTCATTTGCTCCCTACCCTTAGTAACTGTGGAGTTGCTTTTCAGAATGTTTTTATTCTGGGAAGTCCTAGAGCAGAGATTGGCAAACTCCTGAGCCAAATATCTTCCACTTCCTATTTTTATAAATAAAGTTTTATTGGAACAAAGCCATACCAATTCACTTATATGTCATCTATGACTTTTTTAATGCCTACAGGGAAAGAATTGAAAAATTGTGCCACATGGCTTACAAAGCCTGAAATACTTCCTTTTTGGCCCTTTACAATAAAGTTGGCTTACTTTTTTCCTAGAGTTACATTATTTGGTGTCTGTGAAGCTGGAGAGGTAACTGTGTATATTCAACTTGGCAGAAATGTTGGTGTAACATAGAGTTTAGACAATACATCACTGTGAATAGTGAAACATAAATAGCCCTCACTATCTGAAGAAATAAAAAGATCAAATATTACCTGAAGTTAAAGGAAAGTTCAGAGCCAACAGTGTTATTTTTCCATAGTCTCACTTGGTAAGTTTTAAAGTTGTCTTGTCCCTGGGATATTGGAATTCAGAGGGATCATTGGAAAGGAGAATTTCTAGATTTTATTAATCAATAGTATCTGAGTTATTTTCCTCGAAGCAAGCACAGTCCTTTCTCTTTAGAAGGAAGAAAAGGTTTAAAAATTAGATTATAATTAAAAACCAACTGACTTCATGATTAAACTCAATGTCATTCATGGTAAACCTTGTGTCTCTCGTAAAATAGGATGAGGAAGCTGCCTTTGAAGGCCTTTCCTCATTTTTGTGCAAAACTGTCCAGCTCCTCCAAGGACTGTCTGGGATAGGAAAGGGGAAAAGTAGAGAGGAATCTGAGACAGACATTTGTGTTTTTCTCATCTTATCTTGCCTTACCTCTCACTCAATAGCCAGGCCTTAAACCTGGTAAATATTATTTTGGATAATATTTTGAAGTTCTAATCAAAGGATTTTAGAAAACAAATGGATTCAGTTACATTGAAAATAGATTCACTGGATTTATTTTTAAGGTACAATGAAATTCAGTACATTTCAAAGTTTTAAAAATAAATAGTTGGGTTTTTTCCCTTTCCAGACTCTGATTCTGATCCTTGTTCACAAGTGCTTTTACAAAAGTCTAACGTAATGCCACCTTGGGAATGAGGAGGCTGTGACTAGATACCTCCCTTACATTTTGGGGCTGAGGCCAGAGTACAAGTAGAGACACAAAGGCCAGAAGTACACCCCACTTTTCTTCCCACACTTCCAAACAGCTGGTCTGGCCACCCAAGGTCACATATATCTGGAAAAGTTGGAGTGAAAGGGTCTTCCCAGGCTCTGGAAGTAAACTTGGTGCCATTCAGACAGGATATTTCAGGTTCCTGAATGAACATGAGTTAGAAGGGGGGCATGTGGACACTAGGTGTGCACTTCCCATTGATCTGTGAACTTCTTGCTGTGTGGTGAGGGCCACAGAGCAAAGAGGCCAGGACAGGGTGCCTGTGAAGCATGGCAGTCCTGGCTTTGAAGGCCCATCTAGGGAAGATGCAGTATTCTGTAGCTTCTCCCCCTCTTTTGGCCTAGCATGCCTGGGATAATCACAGTTCATCTCAGAAGAATACAAAAAGAAGAAAACATTTGAGGAGGGATGATGACGTACTAGGAGGAGGCCAGCTACAGAGAACCCAAGTTCTGGAAAGCCTGCCTTAGGTGCAGCAATAACAATGATTCTTCTATTCCAAGAACTGAGCATGTAGGAAGCCTTCCTCTCTGCAAACAAGTAGGCTTCCAAATGGAGCCACTTCCTGCTGAGCTAACAACACAAATATTACTAGTTCATGTCTATAATCCTCCCTGGACAGGATTGAGGCCCTCAGGCAGGAGCTTTCCAAAGCCTTTGATTTCAGCCCTTAACAGAATTCCCTTGCTATTTAACATGTAGAAAGCTCTATCCTGCCTGGTTTTGTTCCTGCAGATAACAACACCATCTCAGAACTCAGCTCCCTGCATGAGGGGGACAGCAATTTCCGCCAGTCTTACCATCAGATGAGAAGCAAGCAGTTCCCTGTGTCTGGAGACCTGGAGAGCAATCCTGACTACTGGTCAGGTGTCATGGGAGGCAACAGTGGGACAAGCCGGGGGCCTTCAGCTGTGGAGTATAACAAAGAGGATCGAGAGAGCTTCAGGCACAGGTGATGGCTGTGAGGGGCAGATCTGGTGCTAAACATGAGGGAGCAGGAGCCGGAAGGCAAAGTAGATCTGAGGCTCTTGTTATCCAATAGCATCTCTGTCCATTCTGGGTCATCCTGCCTTATCTCTTTCTACCGGATATGGAAGGTCTCATTCATTAGGCAAGGAAACACTTGAAACACCATGTGGAAAATATTCAAGAACTTTTAAAAGGGGTGCTCTAGACCCCTTAATGAACCTTAACATATCTTTACCCTTCTCGTGTATTTTATCCTATAACCTCTTAAAAATCCCACCCATCACCTCCCATCTCTGATCATGTATTATGTAAAAGGTAAAATGCTAAACACTTCCTACTATTGCATTTAATTCTCATATCTCTAAAAGGCAGCTACTGTTAATGTCCCTATTTTAAGCTGTGGAAATTTAAACTGACAGATACTAAGGAATTTACCCAGGGTGATGTGGCCAACAGATGTGCAAGAACAAGGCTTTCACTCAGTTTTGTGTGAAGTTATTCCACTTCCTCTGGAATAACACCTTTACCTTGAAAGATAGCAGACACTGCCTTTCTCTGACCTGATCCTCAGGTCCCTTTGGCCTCTTGCTCTAAGAGGTAACTTGGCCCTTAGTTCTGAAGGAGGAAAAGGCCACTCTGTGCGTTACATGTACTGCAGGGGCTCCTGGGGCCCACTGTGGGTATTGCCACCAATGTTGGCTTTGAGGGTGGGTGGAGTGAGATGTGTGGCTGTCAACCAGAGGTCATGTCCTGATGATCAGAAGGTGGCTCTCTGGTGTTTCAACACTCCAGAGATGACAAAGTATTTCTAGCACACTTCATTTTGATCCTTCGCACAAACTCATCAGACAGTTACCCTCAACTTGAAATTCTGAGGTCTGCCAAGATGACTCATCCAGCCAGGAGTAGAGCTGAGGCTGGGGCCGAGGTCTCCCGACCCAGACCCAGAACGCGATGGGTGCTCTCAGAGCTCAACCTCCAGCTCCCCCACCTTGCATGTGGCGGGTGTTAGGCACACAGGCAGTACCTGGCCGACTTACCAATGCCTCCTCTGCCTGCAGCCAGCAGCGCTCCAAATCTGAGATGCTGTCCCGGAAGAACTTCGCCACTGGGGTGCCAGCAGTCTCCATGGACGAGCTGGCGGCCTTTGCAGACTCCTACGGCCAGCGGCCCCGCCGGACCGACGGCAACAGCCACGAGGCCCGGAGCGGGAGCCGCTTCGAGCGCTCGGAGTCCCGGGCGCATGGGGGCTTCTACCAGGACGGCTCCCTGGAGGAGTATTACGGCCAGCGCAATCGCAGCCGCGAGCCCCTGACCGACGCGGACCGCGGGTGGTCCTACAGCCCCCCGCGCCGACGGCCGGCCGAGGACGCGCACCTGCCGCGGCTGGTGAGCCGGACGCCGGGCACGGTGCCCAAGTATGACCACTCGTACCTGGGCGGCGTGCTGGATCGGCAGCCCCGGCCCGAGGGCGCCAGCCGTGGCGGCAGCCTGGAGACACCGTCCAAGCTGAGCGCCCAGCTCAGCCAGCGAAGCGCCTCCTACTATGCCTGGTCGCCGCCGGGCACCTACAAGGCTGGAGCGCCGCAGGACGACCAGGAGGATGCGTCCGACGACGAAGACACGCTGCCGCCCTACAGTGAGCTGGAGCTGACCCGCGGCCCGTCCTACCGCAGCAGAGACCTGCCCTACCACAGCAACTCTGAGAAGAAGAGGAAAAAGGAGCCGGCCAAGAAAACTGTGAGTACGCGTCTGGCGCTGCTCTTCCAAGTGGGCCGAGAGGAGAGCCACTGGGCGGGGCGGGCAGGGTCGCTGTCCCAGGGCTGGCGAGGCCGTGAGAAAGCAGAGCAGAGCAGAAGGCTCCCTACCCTGAGGTGCCGCGGGGTCTGGGGAAGGGCTTGTTTGGGGGAGTCAGGGTGTGGCAGCCAGGAAGCCTGCTTTGGGGAATTTGTCTGAAGATGTTAGGGAGGGGTCTTTTTCAAGCTCTCTTTATCTTAGGGCCTGGTGAAGCCTGGGGCCCTGGACAGTTGCATAAAGGCAGAAAGTAGAAGTGTATGGTTTTACAGAGAGCATTAGATAATTAACGACCAGCCTTAAGAAGCACTTAGTGCCGGAGATTGTGGGGGGCTTCTGAGACCTGTGCTCAGAATGTTCAGTTTGTGTGTTCTTCCCCACCCTCAACCACCCTTGGGGCCAGGGTCGGTAACTTGCATCAAATGCCCGAGTCTATATCCCAGAGAAGGTTAGGAGCCACTGCTATTTACAAAGGACAACTCCTTTGACATCTTAGTGCAAATCATGTACTGTGCCCAGTACATGTGAAGGAAATCCTTTGGTGCCTGCCCAGTTCACTGCCACTTCAGTAAGTGGCCTTATGTAGACGTTATTGCTTACTCTCTAGATGCCAAGAGCAGCGCATTCCATTCCTCAAGCCCCCAAGTACAAGCTGTGGGCCTTAGAGGAGCACTGTGGGACAGCCACATTAGACAGATGTCTGCTGTGGAGGTGGAAAGCACCTGTGACCTCCATGCTTTGGCGAGTACTCTCCAAGCACAGGTGTTTCTGCTCCCTGCCTCCTTGCTATTTTAGCTTTCATGATTCCAAGCTCATACTTTCTTGAGTGTGCAGTATGAGGAGGAAGAATATGGGCAGAAAACAGTCTTGGCATTATTACTTCTCCAAAACAAATGTCTTTTGTTGTTCTTTAAATAGAAAAATGCAATGACCAAAGTACCATGAATAGGGAAGAAACTTTTTTTCAGCTTTATGGTACACCATCCACACCTGCTGTTGTGGTGCTGTAAACATAGTTACCTTCAAAAGGGTAGGGAGTTATTCTTTCCCCATGGAACTAAGTTCTATCAGATGTTTGTTGGCTTCAGCACCAACTGAGGTGAAGCCATCATAAGTCTAAATGAAATGTCTTGCATCAGGGTGTGCAGGTTGACCGGGTTGTAGACACCCCGCAATGAACCATCTGTTGTTGGTTGCTTCTTTACTTAGCATGTGGTTTAATGTTGAGCTCTTTCTGCTCTTTCCTAGAGTGACTTTCCAACCAGGATGTCCCTTGTGGTCTGATGTTTCGACATCTCTCTGAGTAACCAGAAATCACATGCAGACTACGGGGACAAGACACATACCCAAGAGCCAAGTAGGACCAGGACCTTCTCTGGCCATCACCTTGGAAGATTTGCTGACCTCTGCTTTGGAAGATTTGCTGACCTCTACTTTGGCAAAAGATGGGAGGCAGCCTTTAAAGGAGGCTGATTTCAAACCTCTGTTCCCGTCTAACTAGTTTGAGAAACTTACCAAGAAAATGACATATGGGAATATTCCCACATACAGAGTTTCTCACCCATAGAGTTTATGTCCAACCTCCTTCCTTAGTAAAACCAGGACTCCATTTCCAATTTTAAAAGAGAATTAGCTCTTAACTGCTAATCTCCAGAAATTGCCTATGCCTACAGTATGCTTTTCTATACCTCCTGTGCTATGCTTAGAGACAGAAGAATTTATAACTACTATTAGAAGGCTTTCTGCTGACAAAGGAAGATAGCTTCAAGGCAAAATGTACCTTTTATACCCATCACTTCCCAGTCACTAGTCAATGACTATTGTTACACTAAAATCAAAAGGCCTTTGGTGAGCTCAGTGACAGTGACCTCTGGGACAATCTCAGAAATGACTTCAATTTGCCGTTATAAATGACAATTCTTGAGTGGCTGGGACAAAACAAAAGAGAGTGTATCTTTTGAAAGCTGCCTAAGTGGTATTTCTTTTTCCACTCCTAGAACATGAACTGCTTTTTCTCCTTCTGCTCTCACATCTGTATCTGAATTTTGGACGCAAAGGGCTCTTCTCTTTCTCTCCTCTCTGGAACTTTCCACAGGTTGGTGCCACACAAAGAGCCCCACCCCACTCTGCACTCTGATTAGGTTGTCATCAGGTGCCTTTTGATAAATACTTAAACCAGACACATGAAAGAGAAGAGGGAGAAAAAGAGGAGAAAACAGTAACTCAAATAGAAAAGAATGAGAAAGAATTTAAGAGGAGAATGACATATTTGGAATGTGGGTCATTTCCGCTACAAATTCCATTCAGTCTTTTCTGGTTTTGTGCTTCATTTACCATGAATTGTTTCTGCCATTCCAGGACACCAGAGATGTGGAGCATGCATCTCTTGCCCGAACTAGGCCACCACTGTAGATACTTACGGGAGAAAAAGGCTATTGCTTTCTCCGGAAGGAGCGCTTCCTGTTTCCACCCTTGCTTAAGTAATGTATTTTGCCTGAATCCAAAAGCTAGAACTGCGTGGATTTTGTAATTTGTATAGATTTTTAAATGGCCACAAATTCCTCCCTTCTCATTGAGAAGTGCAGTCTTTTCCACCCCTTGCATCAGAAATTGGCCACATGATTTGATTTGACCAATGGCTCAATAGCAAATGTGATACAAGTAAAGACTGAAAGTTCTTATGAACGGGGTCCACCTTTCTTGCTGCTCATGGGAACCTTGACCACCAGCAAGTGAATGAGCCTGGACTGTCTTCTTGCATGAAGAGAGAAAAGAGCTCAATTACTCCTGATCCCCCATCTGACAACCTGTCAACCCTCAGCGGATTGCAAACATATGAGTGAGTCCAGCCAAGACCAAAAGAAGAACTGCCTTGCTGAGCCTAGCCCAAATTTCTGATTCCTACGCCAGGCGTGAGAGTTGACACACTTTATATGTTCATTTCTCTTCAAGGACAAAATTGACTCTTCTTGTCCAGTGTTCTCTGAATCCCTTACTCCCTCCAAACATAGGTGTCTCACAGCCTCTGCTTTATCTTACAGGCTTTTTATCAAAGCATTTCACCCTGTACAGTTATAATGGGAAACATGATTGGGTTAAATCACTAAGGGACAATAATGCTTGACCTTGCTGTCCCCTAATCCAGCAGTGGTTCATTCCCTATCTCTGGATCCATGAAAAACCTCTGAAGGATGTTTCTTTTTTCAGTATCTCCTTGGTTTTCTCCAGAGCCATCTGACTGGAGCTGGGCCCTGTTGTCAGAGTACCATTCCACTAGTATCCATTGTACTTCATGATAGAAATTTAAAAAAAAAATTCCCATGTTTGCAATGAAATAAAGAAGCGGCTGAGTGCGAGTCAGAGGGATGAACTGGTATACTACTTGGAGAATTGGCCCACCTAAGGACTTCATAGATGCTTTGGTGTATTCCAGAGCAACCAGGAGGACAGAGTTCAAACCAGTGCTGGCACTTCCAAGGGCTGGAAGACACAAGCCATAACCCTGGTGCTGAGATTTTTAGACTTGCTGGTGTCCCTGGCCTCTGAAAGCCTGTCTGTTTGGGTCCCAGTTCAGATGGAAAAGATGATGAAAACATCATTTTGTAGTCACCAGCTTTGGATTTCAACTTGCTCAGGCAATTTTGAAGAATATTGGGTAGCTGCAGCAGCTATTATCACTTTCTACTGAGCACTGTGTCAGGCTTCTCACCACCAAAGAGCCCCGTAGCACCAACTACAGAGACCAAAAATGTTGCTTTTTTTTTTTTTAAGCTGCAGGCATGTATGATTTTGTTGAAGATAGCAATGAGAGAGATAGCAATTGGAAACCTGTAATTCCAAAGACAGCAAAACTACGTAAGACAGACAATAAAAAAATACAAGGAAGATAGCAGGCTACTGGAATTACCTGGGGGGGTCAGGACCAGGTTGTCCTCTGTAGGGCTGCATAAATCACTCAGACTTCCAGGCCTTCAGTAGAGAGAAAAAGCAATTGTTTCTGAGTGTGTAGGCAGGAGATAAGACTAAATAAACAAGTCAAGGCCAAGCTGGCTATCCTGAATACCCCTGGCTTTTCTCTCTGTATCCCTTTGTTTCTTTTCCCTTGAATAGTGTGTCCTTCATAGGAAGTACATGTTAGCTTCCTTCCTAGGTTTTGTTTGAGTACAAAATAAGTCTCGTGTAAGACATGAGCTCTGTTTACTGGGACCCCTCAATTTAATAGGGAAATAAGACATACCCAAGAAAGAATTAGGAGATTTTATATATATAGTATGAAATAGCACTATGGATAAATAAAAATAAACACAGAGATTTAAAGGTTTTTAAAATTTAAATAATATTTTGATACTTAAGTGTTGTGTGTGTTTGTTTAACATCCTGCTTAAGGGTATGCTCAGTGATCTGAGCTAATATTCAAAAGTCTGAACTGGAAGGAGGTGAATTAGATCCTGGAAGGGTGAGCTGCAGGAGGCCTGGAGTAATGACTCACGAGGTCTGTTTGCCTGTGAGTCACAACTGCATTAGGGAGATGCTGGAGGAGGGGGTGTGGATGCAGGTGGCAGGAATGTCACCTGGTAGATGAACTGCTTCTCTAAGCCATCCATAAACTCATCCGGAATTTGGGGACAGTAGCCATGGACCTGGGGATGCCTACCAGCTCTTCTATCCAAGCGTGCTCACAGGTGAGCTCACCATCTGCTCCACAGGCTCAGTGTTGCAGCCTTGAGTGTTGCTGCCCATCTTCCCTAACACAGCACAGGTCTGCGAGAGATAGTGGGCTTCTCATCTCCCTTCTTAATGACCCTCACTCTGCATTTGTCATAGGACTGGGCACACTTGGCAAGGGAAAAGACTGCCGCCAAACCTGAGGTTCCTAGCCACACCTGTAAATATTTCTGAATAGTCTGCAAAACCTCATATAAACAACCTTAGATAGTCTTTGAGAGAGGCTGAAGTAACAAATGCTGTTGTCATTTACCCCCTTAACACTTTTTAATAGATGGAGAAACCATCATTGTCATTACTGAAGTCGCAAACCCATTAGGACTTTAGATTCCCAACCTCAGCTCCTTTTCTGCTGGATCAGTGTTTCCCCAAATTGCCTAACCATAGGCATTGCTTAATTGCTGTTGTTAATATAGTTGCGTACCAATGGGAGGGGGGTGGTCAGGTACCCTGTTTGTTTTCACATGTTCCTGATATACATTGGTATGTGACTGTTAAAGGCATCTCCTATCTCCTGCCTTGGAGATTAATCAGATGGGTCAAGAACCAGGATTGGCACTTTTAATAGGCATTTCAGGGGAGTCTGCAGCTGGTTGCATTTGGAAAATGTTGCCCTCAGTCTTATCTCTGGTATACCCCAAAGAGTTTGTCCTGAGGTTTCCCTGGGCTTTGCGATTTTTTTTTTTTTACAAGTGTCCCAGTGAGGTCCCTCTCACTCCTGTAGGGTGGGCTGGCAGTGGTGAGGCTTCCAGTAGTCTGGCTGTCGCCCTGGGGAGAGGCTGACCAGAATACAGTGGTGGGAAAACTGTGAAGCAGTGAGACAGGCAAGTTAAGAGCACTCCCTAGGGGCCTGTTACAGATGTTTCCATTCCCAGAATAGTGATCTGTTGTGACAATCTCAGATCAGACAACAAGATTACAGGTAATTTTCTCATTCCCTTGATGCCATTCTGAACAAAATTTAAATCACAAATAGAAAGAACAGAGGCCATTGTGGAGTTGGCAAAAGTAAATCATGTTTTAAAGATGCAAATGATAAGCCTAGCTGGTCAACACTACTTCCACCTGAAGACCCAAAGTGAGATGGGCAAGAATACTAAAATCTACAACATCTATCTCTCCAAAATGAGATTTTAAATGCTTCCAAAATCTTAAAGAGTTTGAAACCAATTGATAGAATACTTAGAAATCCAATTGATAGAATACTTAGAAATCCAAATTTGCTAAAAATAGGGGCCCAGGTACTTAGAGTCTAGAGAGAAAAAGTGCCTAGTGTTTTTTCTGCCAGGATCCTACCTCCCAGTCACCTGGGAACTGATCACTGAAGCTTTTAACAGAGTAGGACAAAGATAATGTTGAGCTGCTTTAAGCAGCAGCCTGAGCGTTAGCACTGCCTGAGAGTGATAAGGTTAATACTAATAACATTTGTATCATTTTTATGGTGTGTTACTGTTTACAGGCCCCTTTCACATGCATTTTCTCATTTGATCCTAACATCAACCCCTGTGATAGATGCAGTGTGGATGTCGTGGTCCCTTCATACAGATTGTAAAACCAAGATTGAAAAAGGCTGTGATTTGCCTATACTTAAATGGCTTTAAATGCAGAGCCAGGCCTTCTGATTGTCATAGGGTTCTTTCCAATTCCTACAATACCAGTGGGACTGGAATCTGGCTTATTCTCTTTGCAGCCAAATACTTGGTGAAAAGAGTCCGGGCCTTGATGTTTGCGCATGCTGTGCATGGGGTGAAGCTTTGAAGATAAGACACCGTCACTGCATCTAACTGAGCACCACTCCTCAAATGCTCTTGTAAGAGAGTTGGCTTCACTCAAGGAGAGTTTCATTTTCATTAGTAATGCTGTGAGGAGAAAGGCTTTGGTCAATATGTTTTTCAGCTTTTCTTTTCGAAATCCTTCTTGAGGGATTTCTGAACCAAACTATAGATTTATCGTGACTTCAGAAATTCCAGGATTAGGGGCAGGAGCTGCGTAGGAGGAAGAATATCTGACATCTTCACTATATTTTGAGATTTTAAGTACAACTAAGAGGGGCCACATACAGAGAGAGACAAGGAAGGTAGGAAGGAGAAAGATATAGCAGCTTAGAGAAAAGTTCTCTTAGAGTTTCTTGTTGGGGCTGGATGTGAGTTAAATGTAGGAAGACTAAAAGAGATACACACATACCTTCCCTTTTATTTTGGCTTTAAGGAAAAGCCACATCATTTGACAAAATAAAGTTTTAGACACTACTACATGAAAATTCTCTCATAGAAATAGAAGAAACAGTGGGATGGACACAGAGGGTCAGAAGTCTGCTTCATAAGTCACCTGTCCAGTTGTTTTTGTGCCTTTTTTGTGACATCAGAACTGAACTGTTTGTATCACTGTTGCCTGTGATTTTTGTTTTCCTGTGTCAGACATACAAAAATGAATTTAGTTAGAATGTTTTAAACTAAATAAAGTATTCTCACCTACATTTGTTACCAAGAACTCTTAATTAACATAAAAATGGTTAATCATGACCTGACATTGAATGGCCTTAGCAGGAAAAAGAATCATACCATACATGTCTTCCTCAGATTGTTTTAAATACCATAATAGAGGAAAACACGTTGGGTCATAGGAGAGACAGGTGCTGACAGAACATAATGTGTATTTTTGCAAATTTTAATAAATAACAACCAGGATAATTCTGTTGTCACTCAGACCACTCACCACAAACTGTATAACATTCAGGAGGCGATGAGGGGTAAGAAAAGTGGTTGAACAAGGTAGTTGTACCTAGCTCATTTTCAAATAGAGCACAAGCATGCCTACTGGAAATTATAGTTAAGAATGGGAGGAAGAGAGCTATTCATGGGAGGACATTTTCGTTCTGAAAAAAATCGAAAAAGTCCACAGAACCATAATTAAGAGAAAGTAATTAAAAATCTATTTTAGCAATAGAAATGATAAGTACTTCAGGGAACTATTAAACCACTCTTGATAGCCAGGCCCTCTTAAGAGAGTTCCAGATTTTAGGAATGGAAAAATCTGTCCTTGCTTGAAGTATCTGGGCTCAATTATTTTCTTTTGGTTGTTAACTTAAAAAATGTTAATGTGTAGATTTAACTTAAATATAAACTCTAAATCAGTTTAACCTTGATTCCCTCCTCTAGACTTTGTGCTATTTTATCTAATGTTTGAATTCCATCTTGCTTTTTCAGCTCTATAAAATAAATTTTGTTTTTATTTATAAAGCATTCATTAAAAGTCACCCGCAGTTTTTCTGCACATATTTTCTTTCTATTTTTTAGCTGTTCCTTTTAACCCTTTTTCTTTCTGAAAGTTTTCTTTAGTGATGATCTGTTGGCAGGATACCTTTAACAGTTTTTGTTAGTCTAAAACAAAGTCTTTGTTTCATTCTTGAAAGATAACTTCACTGGCATATAATTCTAGATTGACAGTTATTTTCTTTCAACACTTGAAGTTATTATTCTACCATACTCTGACTTTTACTGTTGCTTTTGAGAAGTCAATTGCCAATTTAATTACTCTTCTTTTGTAAGTCATCTGTCTTGTCTCCCTGGCTGTTTTAAAATTTTCCTTTTGTCTCTAGTGTTCTTTGGTCTAATTAACAAGGAACAAGGTGTGGATTTCTTTTTGTTGTGCTTCCTGAGGCTGTGGATTGGATTTTACTTCAGAGATGGAAAACTCTCAGCTATTAGCACATCAAATATTTCTTCTTCTCTTTAAACTCTTTTTATTAGAATTCCAATTAGATGTTAGATCTTCTCATTCTATCCTCCATATTGCTTAATCTGTCTTTTCATGTTTTCTATCTCTTTGTCTTCTGTTCCTTATTCTGAGTTATTTCTTCAAGTTGATTTTCTAGTTCACTAATTTTCTCTTTGACTAGCTCTAATTTTCTTTCTTTGAGTTTTATTTTTAATTAATATATTTTTCATTTCTAAAAGTTTAATTTAGATTTTTTTTTCAAATCTGCATAGTCATTGTTGATAGTGTTACATAGCTTACGCTTGTGTACAATTCCCTTTTATTTGAATATACTAAACACACTAATTTTAAATTTTGTATCCATTTTTTTATTAGCCTTTTTGAGTCTAATTTTGGAGTTACTTATATTAACTCACATTCATAGATTTTATTTCCTTATGTGTTTTATAGTTTTTTTTATTGTGAACTCATGTTCGGTAGAATGCCATATTACACTGGTACTAGTCAAGAAAGGCCTTTCCTGCTTCTTATCTGCCCTCTTTCTTTCCATAACGACTCCACAAATACACAGCAACCCCAGAAGATCCAAGCGGAATGAGTGAGAGTAAAGAAGGAGTAAATGAGCTAAGTGTGTGTGTGTGGGGGAAGTACATACATTTCTCTCTAATGTGAAATATAGAATGAAAAAAAGAAACAACTTAAGATGTGGAGGGAAAGACACTGTATGTTCAGAATTTGATATACATAAAAGAAAGGCTATTTTTATTACAAATATAAGACTGTTTTAGGGGTTAAAAATGAACAGAAGATCATTAACCGTTAAGAGCCGCTAAAGAAATAATAGATCTAGATTTCATTTA